AGATTGGTAAAATTTCCTTATTGAAAACCGAATAAGGATTGTTTTGGAATTGTGACGGTTAGATTGTACGGAGAAATTTCCAGCTCAATGTCATGTGATCGGAATTAATTTTTGCTGAGCTTTCCTCTGTAATGTAATAGATATCGTCAGTCGTAAATCATCATTCAATTCACAATTAGATTCACCAAATCACTATGCCATGAAATATAGCTATCCGAAATCAAAATTGATTCCCAAACCTAACTTTGCGATTTAATGAGGCTTCTTTATGCCTACTTTGTGTTCATTTAAAAAGGGTAATCTACAGTCCTCCTCTAACTCTATAATGAGTTCATTCGTTTTATATCTATTCATTAGCTTAAGGAATTCCTCTCTTTGACCTTACTTGTCACTTTTGAAGATTTGTAGCTTGGTGTTAAACATGAAAATTACCATTTTCAATTCCGGCAGAATGTCCGGAAGTGTACGTAATCAACGGTATGATACCGGAAGAAGTTTAGACAATAATGCTTGAGAGTGAGCAGTACGGAGCATGTTTTTCAAAGTCGCCAAAATTCCTCACAAGAGCCAGCTTACTAGGCTGTAGTGTAAAAAATTATAAACCGCGGGTAACCGGATGAAAAATATCCACATTTGTCAAATTTCTGATCTGGTGTTCATCCTCATTACTCAAGGAATTCAAAGTCTACTTGAAGTAATTATATTTGTCTCTATCCTTAAATAAAGTATACAACTTATCCTTTCTTCCCCCTAAACTTCATGACAGATCGGGGCTGGCTTCGAACAACTCGCATCTTCAAAGGCCGTGTGGATAACCCGCCCACAGCTTCTCAACGCCTGAACGTTGCTCAGCTCCTGCGTATCCAAAAGAACAATCCATCCGCTTTAGATAAATTTCTTAAAGGTCTCATGACTTTATCGGTCATACCAGAATCCGAGGCCCCTCAATCAGACAGAGAGAAGAATGTGATAGACAACGACGCGTTGAGTGAGACGGAAAAAGCTGAAGAGGATCTAGTGAATATGGACATCCCTTATAAAGCTGCCTTAAGACCGTCAGCACTAAGGCAATCTGCTATGATTCGAGGAGTCGGTGGATCCATACCATGTACAAAGGAAGATTTGACGAAACCGGAAGAAGGTACTGCGAAACAATTCATGGACAAGAACGGTACGAAAAAGACTCCAATTTGTGTAAGTTAACCAAAAGTCGTTTCTGTACTTTTCCTATTTGCAAAAAAATTTGATCACATGCTATCAGGCACTTATTTATCTCCAATATGATTCGTTAAGCACAAATGCTATGCTCTAAAAACTACTTAAACTGAAAAGGTTCCTCCTCTTTTCTTCAAATAAATTTTATCTGCGAGTTTTTTTATTACATAAGGCAAATCCTTTTAATTTCACATTGCAAAATGCAACCACTTCTAGAGAACAGATTATACAGACACCCAAACGACTTTACGAGTCACTCGCGCACCCTCACTTGGAAATGGGTACAGCCTCACTGGTCGCCAAGTGGAAGAGACACTTGCCGAAAAAGAGGCAGCCAATTTATCCAGGAATGCTTACACCCCCAAACCCAGGAATTGCACTCCGACCAGTCAAGAAAGCATTTCGGCATCTCATCCCATCAAAGGAGCCAAACCAAAAGTAAAATCATTTCGTCGCTTCGTCAATCGTTCAGCTGCTGAACAACAAAGTAATTCGACAAGTCACTTGGAGTCGAATGAGTTCTTGGCCGTGCAACCTATGAAATCGGACTCTTCTCCACAAGTGAGCTTTAGTCAATTCTTAAA